TGAACTTTGTTGATGCAGCCTATTCTGTGCTTTTAGCCAATAATTTCGAAGTCCTGAACGTTTTGCCGCAAGAGACTGATGTCATAGACTGCACAAATGAACGCACGTTAGATGAACAACAAGAGACTTCCACTGATCCCTTGCCAGGGCAGATAAAAGAGCGAGTGCCTCCCATTATTTGCCCTAGGCAGGAGGTTGGGTGTAATGAATTACGAGATTTGTTCGCAAGAAATAGTTCGCAGAATTATACTGGAGTACTGAGCAAGGAAAGAATCACGATTCTTATTGAGTCAGCGGATTCTAGAGATCGAGCACTTGGGGTGCTTTTGAAAAATGAGATAGCGTTTAGTACCTTCTGTACTAAGGAAGAGACACCACTGAGAGTAGTGGTTAGTAGACTTACCGACTAGTCATCGGTTGATGAGATCAAAGGTGAGTTAAGTAAAGTAGGGTACACGTTGATTAAAGTTACGCAGTTCGCTAGGAGATCTCAAGGAAAGGAAGTTAAGCTTTTTTTCTTTTTTTTGTGTCGCTAAAGCGTACAGATGCAGGAAGAGCTATCTATAAGAAGAAAAAGCTGCTCGGTTTTCGAGTTACGATTCGTAAGTACAGGAGTAACCGAAACAAGATGATGTGCTTCTGCTGTCAACGGTTCGGACATGGCCAGATTTTCTGCGATAACCAGCCAAAATGCATGAAGTGCGGGCAGAATCACCTGACCTATACTTGTACCTTCCCAAGAAAAAAGAAAACGACTTATATAAACTACAAATTGGATGACGTGGCATCACTTAATATTTGCGAATCTCACCACTTGTAGACTGAACGAAATACCGGTTCCCAATTTTCAGTGGCTTTCGCAAAATTCATCACTAGGTGGCGCTCGCATTCTGCTACACGTTCTCTACAGGGAGCCATGGTTCTCTATTTGTAATATGGCTTGTTGTCACTAAAAAGTGTATTTTATTAAAACGTGCTGCTGTAACTAATAGTAACATAGAATAGTATATTGTTGCGTGCTATACTGCAAAGTTTTCTTCCTTTTAAAAAAATGTTTACGATTGTATTTAAATAATTATTGCCAACATATAACTATTGGACGACTAGCATTTCCATCAGTTTCATGTAATACAGATTTAATACAAATACATAATACAAAATTTCTTAAACAAAAGCCATCATCACGTAAAATTTCAAAGCTTTAAAATTCTTTTGATTTGATTCTTAAGCTTTAAATTTCTTTCCCTCAGCTTTTGTATCGAAAGAAGCTTCTGAATATGTGTGTACGTGTGTTCAGCTTCATCTATTTTTTCGTCTTCCTGAAGTAAAAATGTCATAATTTTTTTTTTTTATCATACTGGAGATAATCTCTGTTTTCTGCATAAATTATATTTTAACCTATCTAATGTGTATATATATATATATATAATTGCATTAAATTAATATATATCTATATACATATGAATTTAAATGCATTAAATATATATATATATATATATATTATTATTACTTTTTAGCTCTCGTATTTGTTATCTTTGATCCAAAAAATTTGAATGCTGTCTGTACTAGCTTCAAAATTTTAAAACGTAGATCTCATTTTAATTAGTGTGATGTATCAATATGCTGTGCATGAATTTGTGTCTACCTGGCTCAGTGTTTTGTGGTTGCACTTGATGTAATAGAGATTCATATTGAATCCTTATAATGACATTCATATATATGTAATTAATAGAGTTTTATTTTAGGGACATTTTGTTTTAGGGAATATGGCTTTATTTTTTAAAATATGCGGTCAATGATATTGAAATATTTAGTATTCAACACTAGCAGTCTCAAAATATTATATTCCCTCCTTATTGATGGATGAGTCCGAAACTAGTTGCTACATTTCAAGTAGTTTGAGTCAAAATAACGTTCGATGCAGTTTAGCAGATCAACATCAGTAAGATTACACAATGTGTTATAAGGAATGTAACGCTGTATACTAGATTTTCATTCTCAGTTTTGACTTTCCACAAATGTAGCACTTATTTTGGGACAATTTTATAGACGCAAATGTAGAGGGTTCACATACTGTTAAGCCACGCCCCCTTTTGTAAGGACTTTATATACCGCCCGTATTTCAGAAAGATCGTGATTATGTGATTAAGGCAAAGCCTCGAGGGCTGTCTGCCTAAGGTGAAGGATGCCTTTGTGGAAAAATTTCTGAGGCAACTGCCTCTTATAGGCGAGGCAGATCATTGAATTTACATTTAATTAGCCTGCAGATTTTAAGCGATTACTGATGAATGAGTCCTTACAAAATGGGGCGTGGCTTAAGGGTGTGCGAAAGCTGGATTTTTGAAGCTAATTTGGTACTGATTTAAGGAGGGAATGCTTTGTAAGTAATGCTGTTGCTGATTGATAACGTAGCACCCTGAAAATTCTGGAAAATGTGCAAACAGAATCATAAAATCTTCAGTATCAATAATGAGTACTCAAATGTAGCAACAAATTTGGGACAGAGGGAGTATATGATTCATTGTGATTAATGTCATACATGTTATTATTGTATGCTGTAGGTAATATTGATATACTTGTTATTCATCACTAACAGGCTTAAAATTTTATATAAGATTCATGGTAATTAATGTCATGTATGTCATTATTATATGTTGTAGGTGATATTGAAGTATTATTTTGAAAGTCTGTAGTGCTGTGTTTACTCTTCGGAGCTCCAAATCTGCATTATTTAAAATTTTACTTTTTTAATATTTCCTAAAATAAGTATTTTATATCAATTAAAAAAGTGACAAAAATCTTCAGTACCTAAAACCTAATCTCTTTTAGAAATACTTTTTCTCTTATGTATTAAAAAATTTTTGATCATCATTTATTAATTTCTTAATTACATATTAATAGTGGCTTCAAATTATTTTGTTGCACAGGACAACTGATATTAATACGATGAAAATTTTACGCTGAAATAGTTTATGTTCTGAAGCTACCTGCTAACTTCGTACTATATAAATAATTTAAAGTAAAACATGTGCTCCAACTTACCCTTAAATTAGAATAGGTAACTCAAATAAGTACAATTAAAAATAGCGTATATCTAGATGCAAGCAGGAATTAAAATCAGAATCAAGTAGCTGAAGTGTTATATACGAAAAAAAAGGGGTAACTTGAAATTTCATACTTTCTTTCTAAATAAAAATATTTTATTAAAAAGAAATGTACAATTTCTGGCTACTACAGATTAATCGTTATTAAATTTTGCATATAACTAAACAATTATTTCTTTGAGGTACCATTCTGCTCATTATTAACGTAGCAAAGCGTACGGGATAGTAGCACCCTCTTGCGGCCAGTAGAAATTTCATTGAGGCCACCGAAAACACAAAGAATATTTACACAATGGCAGGCCTTGATTATAAGTTGGCCTTGATTCAGGTGAAGCCGAAGGCCGATCGCATTTAGTTAAATAATCAATGGTGCCATGGAGGTAGGAAGTAAGCCCTTTCTTACCTCCATGAATGGTGCATTTATTAGCAGCGCGCCCGCACGTGGAAGAGTCGTGGTCATGAAGGCAAATGCCTCGAAGTCAAGCAAGACGTTTCTTCTCCTCTGTGTAGGCTCCTCCTCTCTGAGTGTTGAAAATTGATTTGTCGTTGACCACATCTAGGATCTAGGATCGTATATTTTCTTCTGGCGTCAACTTCTAGGAGTTCTAACTAGTAGTTAAGCATTTTACCAAAGGCCCTTAGTAATCATAATAAAATAAGAGGTGTATTGCACAGTACACGACACGCGAAGGCAAGATCGAAGTCATGAGATAAACTCAGTAGATAGTAATTTTTAAATGCAATTAAATGGCATGTCATTAGCAGCGGTCGGTGCAAAATAAGTTCTAAGTTTCATAAAATTGCTGAATAAAACGTAAAATAAGACTGTAGAAGTAACACCACGTGATGCGAGATGGCCGTAGAGAGTGAAGGAGTCATAAGACCATGAACTAAAATTTTTCCCTGTAAGCAAAGTCTTTGGTATAAAACACTTTACAGTACTAAAGAAATTCTTGGTTAAATAGAAATAATAAGTAAAATAAGTAAGTAATATAAGTTGCAATCAAAGTCCATAAGCTTTGTCATAGCATAGTCGAAAACATAAGCAAAACTTGATTAAATGAAGAGTATTAAAATACGTGAAATAAGTAGAATAAAATATATATACTGTACACTACCACCATAATGCATTATGATGGATAGTTCGCGGTCTTTTTACTACATGTTCCTCTGTGGGATCATAGTTTGTGAGTTCTTTAATAGCCGGGTATTGCGAGTTTTTCATTTTTTCAAAGAAGTTGTGTGCAGTAGTTAGTAATTGATCGTGAATTGGCAGAATCTTTAAATTCTTATGAATTTGCGCGTTACGCACAAACCAAGGTGCTTTGGTAATGCTTCGAAGAATCATATTCTGTAAGACGTTTATTTTCTGGCGTTTAGTTCCGCTGTTCAAGTCCTATAATTGCTGTGTATACCGACTAATTTGTAAATTGAAATTTTTTCGTTTTCAATAACCTCTGTCACTTTCTTCGCTATCGGAAGCGAATTATAATGACGAGGAATTTGATTTAAATCATATCAAAGACGGAGTACATCGTGATGAAATACTACATTTAGTAAGGTATTATAAGCCAAATAAAATAAAAACATCTGCCCTGAAGATAAGGATAATGCTGAAAGATCAACTTCGAATTCATTGCGCGGCGTTAAAGATAAACAAACGTTAAAGTTTAGATAAATAAGGATATGCCTTTACCCATTTTTTGCAGCAATTCCACTTTTTGTTTAATGAACTTCGAAATATACTTTCGCTTTGTAGATCCTTTACATATTAATAAATATATATCAGAAGTTCTATTTGACATAATCGAAAGTTCCAGCTTTCTACGTGAAAGCTGCACAAAACTTGCGGTTAAAAGGCATACCTCCCATTTGCTACGTTCTGTCTTTGAATATACCCACCCGTTAGGTCGGATTCCAAAAATTCAGATTGAGCTCATTGTAATGTTCCTCTCCACGGTAATCTTTAATAAAAGGCGAAAGATCAGCTAGAGTGATGAAGAGAAACCAAAGCATACTAAACACATTGTGTTGGAAACATACTACAGAAATAAGAGAAAGAAAATAGTGGTGGTCAATAAATTAAATGCTATTATGTATTATATAGTATGTCATTGCGTGTTGTACTATCGTTACATAATACGGTGTGTATATTTTCTATAAACCAAACAACGAAAGTGACATTCATGTTTTAACGTTCCTTCGCTAAGGGCCGCTCACACTTGATTTTATTAGCTAACCCACCATCTAGAGCCGCTATCGGAGATCATTATTCGTTCGGCATGCGAAGGCCTTTTCTAGCGCAATAACATTGTCGCGGAGGTAGAATGGCAAAGAGGAGGCTTAGCCATTGGCACGTTCAAGGAATACCTCCTTGCTGCGCAATAATTCTCTTCTTGCCTCGAGTCATCCAGCTACAGGTTAAAACCACGGTTGCATGCAGGACCGATCCTAGCAGGGAAGGGGGGCGGTCACAGTCACAGCACATGGGCGGCAAAATGATCAACAAACATATTTCTTTAAACAAAGTTTTAATTTGTACGTGGGCGGCTGACGGTCTAGGATCGGTACTGGTTGTACGCCTGTCCTACCACTCAAATAACGGTAATGGTTACAACTTTATCAAATCTGATTAATGGGATTGCCATAAAATTGAACTTGTTTAATGTAACCATGCATTTGAGCAAATTTAGATTTGCCTGTTCAAATTCTGAACTTTAAAAAGGCCTTTTTTTTTTAATTATTAGGCTGCATGCATAAATATTTAGCACATGATAAGAAATTAATACATGTAAAAATAATACTATGATTATATTGGCAAAATGCATCGCAATTTTAGAAAAATAATGCATAATGATACGTAAAAATCAACCAGAAGGAAGAAAATATGCCTCTTTCTCCTTTTATAATTTAAGAAATATATACGATTGAATTTCAGTACAAGTTCGTAAACACAACGTAGTGCCTGTCATAGAAAGGCGGGGGTATCGTAAACACAACGCAGTGCCTGTCTTAGAAGGCGGGGCACAGAAATAAGGCGTGACTAAAGTGTGATGATATAGCCCCTTTTTGCAAAGAACGCAGTTTTACATTTTGCAAAAACTGAATCTATGGGGGTAATATAAACAATGAAAAAGAAAACTTTTTAATTAATATTGTATGAGAGGTTAATTCTTTCACCTCTAACAATTTAAGTAATATCTGACGCAGAAAAATGTCACAGATAGGACGGCTCTGATTGCAAGATTTTCTGTCCCATCGTGAGAAGGCGTATCTGCAACATACTTATCTTTTTATGGCGATGACTAAGTTTAACAATTTGTTTTTAATTGTGACTAATTAATACACCGTTTACTCGGGAAACGGTTCCTGGATTTCCCACTCTGTAGATTAAAATTGACAAATTGCACTGGCTCTTTATTATTGTTATTATAGTGATCTTTACTGTTAACCAAGATTATAATGCAGAAGGTGTATTTTGACTTACGTGTTATTAACCGCTACCCAAACATTTATAATGGCATCACTTTGACTATTCCTTTTCCCTGACGTTCGTCCTGTCGATTGCGCCACTTAGGTTAAAGTAAAAGTAGATTCTTGCGTTTACGGAATAGAGATTATTTTGTGTTAATTGAGCTTTCTCTACTTTTAGATGTAGGTGGTATATAAACTACAGTTCCCAAACAAAAGCCACAAAAAAAAAAAAAAAAAAAAAAGAAAGCCCACCTGATAAATGCCCACGTTGAGAAAAGCCCACATAGATATAAGCGCACGCTGATAAACGTGCACAAAATCAAAAGGGACTTATGCTTTTTTATTACTAAACCGTGTATTTATAATTTTAATTATAATAAATGGAGTATTCAGATCTGAGTTTTAATGTCTCAAATATGTCTGTTTGTATATTTTATCACTACTTTATTTGTTTAATTTATTAGATTGAAAGCAATCTTTCTAAGTTATGATTAAGTAAGATCCCATCAGCAGCTATTCCACAAAATAACAGATTTGAAACTTTTGACGAAAATGACGATGTAAGTTACAGATGAAACGCAGATGACTACAACACTGAATAAAGCAGAAAATAAAACGAAAATTTCCCCATTAGTCATTCCAGAAAACGATGTTGATTGGCCTGAAATTGAGAAAATGCTCAGAGAGATACGTTAAAACGAATTTGAAGTTACAATCAAAGCCACACAGATTTTCCTTTACACTACCACCGAAGCCGATTATAAAGCTACAGTTGATAAATTCAAGAAAGCGCAGATTAGTTTTCATACGTACCAAATTTCCTCAGCCTCTTCAGTTAAAGTTCATACTTAAGAATATCCCAAGATCCTACACAGAAGCAAGCTATTCACCGCAGACTTAGAACACAGAAGCTTCCCTATAATTAAAATAATTCACGGAGTAAAGCAATTCACGAAGAAAGCAGAAGACCAAATTATCCATTTACCTCTATATTTTTTCCTTGAACTAAAAAGAAATTCTGCAGAAAGAGAAAATTCATCAATTGAACAACATTTTCGGATTCAATATCACAATAGAAAAATATCAGCCCAGAAAATGCCCAATTCAATGTTTCAATTGCCAGGAGTTCGGGCACTCCCAAAATAACTGCTTTTAAAAGGTCAGGTGCTGTAAGTGCGGACAAAATCACAGATCCAATACCTGTAAATTAAAACCAGATGAAAAACCAACTTGCATTTACTGTCAAGAAAATCATGTTTCTTCTTATCGTGGTTGTAAGGTATACAGAAAAAGATTCAATCATTTAGAGACGATAGAAAAACCACAAGAAATTCCTACTAAAGATGACTTCCCCGAATTTATTCAAGCTTCAGGCCAAACTAATCAAGAAATGCCTAAAAACCTTTACAGTGAAAAAGTTAAGCAGAAAAACCCGCAGGAAAATTTAGCAGAAATCATTAACATTTTCAAAGATCAGGAAACCCTTTTTCTCATGAAATCAATAACCACAATAGTTCAGAGAATTAAATCAGCTAAATCAAATATGCAGAAACTTTGCCTAGCTTTTCAAGCCATTGAGATGATTCTGAACTGTGCAGATAAATATTAATTCGCAGCTTCTCTCAAGACAAGCATAGCTGAGCGGCAGAAATTCTCAAGTTACAGATCCTCACATCGTGGGGCCACATTTACTTCTCTTCTAGAGACTCTGCACTAGGTGCAAAAAGTACATGCCATCTTACTGGATTCAACTCATCATTAAAGACACCCTACTTATAATATATTGGTAAAGGCCGCACTAGGCTGATTGCCTCGTAATTGTGTTATGACATAGACATAGACATCTGATTAAGTAAATATCCTCTTCTCAAGAAATTTTCCACTTTGAATTGCTAAAGTGGACTTATTTCATCACTAAGACGTACCCCGTAGGGTAAATAACTTCTGAGTCAAAGTCCCCAGGACTAAATACTCATCCATACTTCAATTCATGCCATGATTAGCTATAACATTTTGATGATAAATCAGAAATTGCATTTTATTATTTATTTACTTATTTAACTTTGTATGTGAAAATGAAAAATATCATTGTGGAGTTTCTCGCATGCTATTTAAGGCAATATGGCTGAGATTAAATATAATTATGTTTCATTATTAAAACTATTAACTTTTTAATTAAAAACACTTGAAATTTATTTTATTTCTTTTTAGGTTTTTCCTTATAGTTTCTTTTTAGTTTAAGAATATTAAAACAGTTAAGCACAATGAAAACTTGGCTAAGAGATATTTTATTCTTTACTTTAGACTGAGCTTATTATCAAAGTTTAAACATATTTCTCATTGAAAGCTGTTTTGAATGTAACAATTATAATTTGGCGATTTTCTAGAGACATTTTCTTTTAGATTTCTTAATAAATTGAAACTGTCAACTGACACTCTGTCAGAAAATGAATTCCAAATGTAACCTTTTAATCTTTCAACTACAGTAATTTGTAATAGTGTTTTTAATTTTCATTTTATTTATCTATTCATTAATTTTTTTGGAAGGGGGGATGGAACAACTGTTAGAAGTCAACATATCTACTAATTTAAGTACAATCACCTCAAACTATACTAATAAATATGTAGCATTTTATTAGAGATTGTGAAGATTACAAAGAACTGTGCATATAATAACATCTAATAAAATTTTGTAACTATATAAATATATATTTATAGAGTAATCAGATTCAAAGTTCATCGTTTTTAGATTCTAAGTATGCATATTATATAAATTCATCATTCATTAATAGTATTCTGTATAGTAATAGAAAATTAGAATTAATGTTTCAAATTGTAAAATTTTATTAATTTGTCTTGCATTTGCTGTATATTTGTTCAAGAGATATAGATATCAGTTATATAACATGAAACATACACAGAAAGAAGCTAATCTTATATCATCATCATCATCATCGATTATGCCGGGATATTGCTGTTATAACGCAATTTTAAGAAATTAAATAATAAAAAATCTACATGAATACATGAATGTTTCTCGCACTGTAACAAAAACGGCAGTATCTAGAGCCATCAAATTTTGAATAATGTAATCCTCCACCCGAACATGGGCATCTGGACGGCCGAATTTCGAATTTCTTTTAATCTGTTTCATATTTTGTAAAACTTTAACGAATTTTTCATTAACAAACTCAACGAGTTCAGAGCGAGCACTATACGGAAAATAACAGTTTTACCTCCAGTGCGGAAATTCTAAAAATATGCTGTTTTCAAATGTATGTGGTTTACGGGCGAAGAACATGATATTCAATAAATATAGGTAAGACACAAAACGTTAAAAAAAGGTTCCTTTTGGGCGTAATATAAAAGCTGAGTGCTTCTAGATTTGATTTTACCTTTCCCCCCTTCATTACTCTCAGAAAATTGTATACTCCGAATTTTATAAATTACTAAAATAAATATTCCACTTTAATGTTAATAAGTTAATGATGATGTAATGAAATAAATAATTGTTTTGTAATGTTATTATAGTTTTGAAAATC